GATATCCATGGTTTAGTCTTGAATTTAAAATTTTTTTTGTTAAGCTTTCTAAAAGGCGCGTGAATATCAAGCAACAAATTAATATTGGAGATAGTATTCTCGAGAGACTGAGTACAGTTATCAGGGTATATTTTTGGTTCTTTATCTATAATAGTTTTGTGAAAATCGCGTTTAAATGATACTTCATTGAAACTTTTCCAGTTTCTTTCCTGGGTTAGAAGTTTTTTGCTAGGTTGTGGTTTAAGAATATTATAAGCTATTAGAAATTGGGGAAGATAATCTGAAATTGTGGTGGTAAGATTCCCAGCTTTATATTTGTTTGATTTAATATTTGAGAAGATATTGTCAATTAATGTTTTTGATGTTTTACAGATACGAGTAGGGTGGATAATGTGAGGAAGAATGTAATTTGAGATGAGTGAGTCAAAAAAGTCTTTTGCATATAAATCTGTGTCACATTTTAACAAATCAATGTTAAAATCTCCTAAAATAAATATAGTTTTATTTTCTTTTGTTAAGTTTTTGAGTAAAGGATTAAGATAGAAGGATAAGAAGTTGTCCAAAGACATTTTTGGATGCCTGTAGATACAGCCAACAATAATATTAGATTTTTTTGGATTTATGATTTCAATAAAGATAGATTCTAGCTCTTTTGGTTTATAGATGAGGAGATCATTTCTGGGTTTATAGGCGAGTCTGTTATTTATATATAATAATGCACCACCTGCTTGTGATTCAGATGGTGTGTGTTCATGGGAATACCCATTAAGTGTTATGTTGCTAGTTTGAGGCCTGTTTTTATTCAGCCTGATTTCTGATATACCAATTATGTCAAATTCAAGTTTTGTTGATTGGAGTAGATTTTCAAGGTCGTCAAAATGTTTCGAGAGTGATGAGATATTGATATGAAATACATTGAATGAGGATTTGTCAGCTGCAATACATTTTAAATCATCAACATTAGTATAATAACTGTTTATTGGGAGATTTTGGGATTTATTATTGTTATCAACATGTGTATTAAATGTGTTAAAGATTGAGTATATGGGGAAATCTGATACTTGATAAATCTCATTTACTTTGGTGTCAACATTAGTAAGATTTTCGTTGTCAATTATAGTTTCTTTATTGAAGGGAAAAATACTGGCTAAACAATTTATACAAAACCAAGAACAATTTTTTGAGGAATTTTTTAGTAATTGGTAATCAATATCATTGAGATTGTTACATTTTAGGTGGACCCAATTAAGGCAGCTATCGCAAAAGACAGCTTTCTGATTTTTATTGACATTTACATTGCAAACAGCACATATGCTATTTGTAGTTTTCATTACGGTGAATGGTTATGGCGATAAGATATATAAGTAACAATATTTATATGAATTAGTTGTGTGACTTTATTTAATTAGACTAATGTTATCATTTTATATATATTGTATTAAAATGTTAATACAATTATTTTAGTTACGTTAACAACATTATTATGAAGTTATAAAAATTATAACGTAATAACATTAATTATATAAAATAATAACATTATAATGTTATTATTTTATATAATTAATGTTATTACGTTATAATTTTTATAACTTCATAATAATGTTGTTAACGTAACTAAAATAATTGTATTAACATTTTATGCTTTCATAGGTATGATGAAACTATTTAATACATTATTTCAACATGCAACATGACTAAAAATCATAATCATAACTAATAAAAATCATTATTGAATGATATATCATGCAATAATGACTTTTATTAGTTATCTCAGCAAAAAATATGTACATAATGTAAAGTATACCTTTATGGTATACATATAATTGTTAACATATGATAACTAAAATAGTTGTTGTTAATATAACAAAAATGCTGCTATTTTAACTAAAACAACACCATTATCATATTTGTTTGATAATATTTATGTATTAAATATTTTCCATTTTGTTATTTATATTTGTTATTTATATTTCCATTTTGTTATAACATAAAAAAATTAACTTTAACAACATTAACATTAACGTTTAACGTTAACAATATTATTTAACAACATTATTTACATTTATGTTAACAACATTACTTGTGTTATGTTAACACATTACCAGTTAATTGGAATGTCATGTGATTTTATTTAAACCTATATTTTACACATTTTTTTTAGACTATAGTCTAAAAAAAATGTGTAAAATATAGGTTTAAATAAAATACATTATGTACATATTTTTTGCTGAGATAACTAATAAAAATCATTATTGCATGATATATCATTCAATAATGATTTTTATTAGTTATGATTATGATTTTTAGTCATGTTGCATGTTGAAATAATGTATTAAATAGTTTCATCATACCTATGAAAGCACTCTAACAAAATTATATTAATATATGCAATAAATGCACAATGGCAACTATGATTTATAGTGTTATAATATGTATATATTGTGTGTATATATATATATATATATATATATATATATATATATATATATATATATATATATATATATATATATATATATATATATATATATATATATATATATATACATATATATATATATATATATATATATATATATATATATATATATATATATATATATATATATATATATATATATATATATATATATATATATATATATATATATATATATATATGTATGTATATATATAGGGGAGAGCGGTGTTGGTTGTCACACTTTTTACATTTTAGGCTGCTCAGCTTTTAATTTTCATCCAATCAATGCCAAACTTTGCACAAAGCTAGTTTAACTATTTCCAGTAACTATTATAATATTTTTATGACATTGAGTGAAATATTTATTGCTGTAAAATCATTTTTCAAAGACCACTTCTGTGTGACAACTAGCCCCGCTCACGGGGTAGGTTGTCACATGGTGCGGGGTTGATTGTCACATTTGGATTTTGACAAGTTTAGATAAGAATTTAATGTAAAACGAGTACAAATTAATTTCGTTTATGTTTTACTAAGAAAAATAAAAATAAAATACTATAAACTGAAATATATATATTTTAAATATAACACAATTAACAATTTTAGTTTATCACTATAAATGTTTTTAGGTTTGGTTTTTTAAAAATTATTGGATAAAGAACACAATTCACAAATAAACTGTTGTAAGCCTGGTGTGCATTCTTCATGAGACCGTTTTTGGCAAACCTGACATTGAATCCACTGTTCTCTTGATCGGCTGTTGGAAAAAGATTCAAAACAATAGATGCACTAAATATAAACAATGCACAAACAAAACAACAGACAGTTTTACAAACTAAACAACAGCTAGTTGTTTAGTTTGTAAACAAAACAATAAACAGTTGAACTTCTGCAATCCTTTTTCTATAATTATACTAAACATTGGATCGGAATCTAAAGTTATGCACGTTGAAATAAAAATAATTTAGATTACAGATATTTAGTTAAACAAATATAAGACTTTGACTTTAGATTTTTAAATAATATCTTAAACATTAAAATATTCCTCAATAATGCGGAAAATAAACAAAGCCAATAAAAAATCTGCAAGCGGCGTTTAATTTGCAGCGCATGGAGTCGAGGCAAGTGTAACAACCATCCCCATATATTTTGTGACAAGCAACCCCTTCTGAGTAAGTTGCTGGACACCTGTACATTTACCTAAAAGCGTGAAAATTTCATGATATTTTTTTACGGATTAAGTTACTCAAATGAATAAAGTACTTTATAAATCTACATTCAAAACACAATAAAATAATGTTCGTTTGGTAAAAGAAAATTTCTGAGTAGGCGAAATTTTACTTTTTCATATCAAAAACCTTTAAAAACGAATAACTTTTCTTCTGCACGCTAAAAAAAGATAAAAATTACTGTAAAAATGTTTTTTTTATATAACATTTCCATTGCATAATTTGAAATTTCTATATCTTATTTACATTTCCTGTAATAAACTTTGTGACAACCAACCCGCGTGACAACCAACCCCGCTCTCCCCTATATATAATTTTTTTTTTCTGATAAAAGTTATTAAAATTTTTATTTGCTATATATGTGGTACTTTTACGAAACTATTGATTTTTTTTCAAAATCATATACAACGTCATAATAGTATTGCCGAAATTGTTTATCCAATTAGATGTTTACAGAATGGCTGTAAATGGTACATTTACAGCCATTCTGTAAACATCTAAGTACAGCTTATATGTCGCGAATTAGACATGTAAAATGTTACCATAATATTGATATTGATTTAATTGATAAAAACCCTGAGCCAAAATATATAGTAATCCATTAAATGATAATCGTAACGATTTATTGCCTAATTTTTCAGAATATTCATTGCCTAGTTTCCCAGAGAATTCTACTTATCAAGTTTACACTTATCCTGAAAAAACAATAGAATATATTAATCCTTTGTTAGTTTCTTCATTGTGAACAAGCAGCAGTGTTCCTTATTACATTATACCTGAAGTAATTGTTTCTGTTAACAGTAATTTCATAATCATTAGTTTTCTATATTGCAGCGCTCAAATAGTTTTTCAAAGCTTGCCAATCAAATGTAATTATTTCACAAAAAAAGGTTTCCCTTGAATTTTTTGAAATTTCTTTAAACATTGCTGATCATTGATCGGCTGTTATTTCGAGCGATGATATTGGTAATGCTGCTTTATCAGTTTTCAATGACATTAGAGCAGGTTCCACTCTTTTATTGTTTAAGAGTAAGTTTGAAAGTAGTGTTATACATTGCAATGAGCCACTCAAGTTTCTTTACACATATATAAACAAGATAAACACTTAGAAAAAAATTCTCTTTTTGTAACTTCTGAAATATGCAACATGGGCCCTCCTAGATATGAAACTAATGAGGGAATTTCAAAGATAGTTTCATTTCATTGAAGAGGTATCAAGTAATATTACATTGCATAATGGCTTTAACACTTGCAAACAAAACATTTTGTAAGAGATTCAATGTTCAAAAATACTTTGTGAGAAGACTAATATAATGGGGGTATATATATGTCTACTACCCTAAGTGGGGAGAATGAATAAATAAGAACTTTATAACTTAAATAAGAAATTTTACAACATAATTGTCAATCTGCATAAGTACTAAGCTGCTGCAACTTGACTATGTGCCAATCTGCAAAAGTGCGAAGTTTCTCTTTCTCATCTTATTTCATTTATTAGTTCCTTATGTAATATACCCTTTTAATCCAAAAGAATGTTTTTTTATAATCTACCTATAAAGGTTTATAAGTATATACGAGTTGTTCCCTGATTTATTTTTATTTTTATTTAGAAGATGCAACTTTGCTTGCATTTAAGGCGCTCCCTTTTCTTATGATAGCACCTCCACAGAAGGGCTTGAAGAGTCCAAGAATTTGGCTTTATTTTATAGAGAAATGGATGTAAGTTTTTTCTATGCATTTTTTTTTAAAGTGAAATTTGGTTTATAATCAAAAAGTATTACTTTTTTGAGCTTTGAATTTTCTGCATTTTTTTAAAATTTTACTTAAACATTTAGGTACACCTCAGTCTTGAAAGCTCCCTTAAGTTATTGAAGAAGGAGAAAGTTTTTCTACTGATTTTATTCAAGTGTTGCGGCACTCTATTTATAATTCAAATTATAACTCTAATTATAAGTCGATAATACAGCTATACGGTTGGAAGCCATACCGAGTATTAGATTTGCTTTTGAGTTGCTGCTAGTCTCTTATTATGTATTTAATGTCAATTTTCCTCATGAACTTATTTGTGTATATGGATTTATGGGAAATTTGCTTGGAATAAACAACAAAAGAATTATCGTCAATTCCTTTTAAAGAAAGTATTGCCAAAAGTTCAAGATTAAATTAAGCAATATGTTTGTAAAACGAAAAAGTATTTTTATCACTTTCTTGTTTATTTTTGTTGTATCGTCAGCCGAGAACCAAGAGGCTGACCAAGAATGAACCAAGATATTTTTGTTGTATCGTCAGCCGAGAACCAAGAGGCTGAACCAAGAGGCCGTATGTCTTTTTTTTGTGTTTCCAAGAAAATCAAGTTTCAAATTTTAATTTGCAAAGTCTTTCTTCCAGAAAATTCGACTGATTATTTAACTATTTCCTAAAATTTTATTGTTGTGGTATATTTATGGAACACACACTCCTGAATATTTATTGATAATAGAAAAAAAAAACACACAAAATGTTGATATACGGTTCTTCTCTGACGGCGGTATCTATTTTTCAAAGTTTTAACTTGCTTTTGCAAATAAATGTTTTAAGACTTGTTTTTAATTTAATATTCACTGAATTGAGTTTGAGTTTGAACTGAGTTTATATACTTAAAAGAAATACTATAACAATGCATTGACTCGGAATTAAAATAAAATTTATATTTCAGTTTTTATTATTTTATTGTGATATCGTTCCGTTATTTCTTGTAAGCCAATATAATATACATGTGTAATTTAGTATATGACTCTAAATGACAATGTGTAATTTATTATATGATATAAATAGCATTCTTTATTTGAATTATTTAATTGTGCCCGGTTATATACATAGTACGTGAAGACCTAAATGGGCGGAATAAATCACGCATAAATATACTTACAAAAAATCAAAACATTTTTAACGTCTAGAAAAACACAGATTGGTGTTTAAACTATAGTGTTACATTTAGCACAACACTAATTTTGAGATTTTTTTACAACAGTTTTGTCGCGCAAAAAGAGCGTATATATAGAGCCATTGATTATATGCAACAATTATGTCGAAAAAATTTCTACAAAAGTGTCGCATTAAAGGCCACAAAGTGTAGCTTTCAAGTCTACATTTTATGTAGCTTTACGAATGCAACACTGAGTGTGGCTTTTAAAGCCACATAGTGTTGGTGTAGCCGGCGTCGACACTCATTGTTGTATTCTACGCGACATAATGTAGCCTACGGCTCAACACTATTTTTAAGCGTGTATTTTTTCTGTTCTACCATTTTAGCCAATCGACAGCTCAAAGTTCAAAAACTCAATAATCAATCTTGAGCGGATCCAATTACTCTTCTTTTTTTTTTTTTTTCGAGACAGACACGTTAAAGCTATATTGTACACTGAAATTTTGTCGTGTTTATAACGGCATCTATAAGGCAGATAAGAAAAAAAAAATTAAAAAAATTGAAAAAAAGTCATTGGGCAAACGAAAAAGCAAAAAAAATTGATTGCTTTCTGCAGAATTTTATTAGCGCAACGCATTTTAGTGTTGCCAAAAGCGCAGAAAATGAAAATGTCATAAAACTAACAACAAACGTTGTAAGTAACTCTAGGGCAGATTAATGGTCTCTTGGTCGTTCGAAATAAACTCCGAATATATAAAAGCTTTCTGAGTTCAAGGTATCAATGAAGGATGTATTGCAAAAAGCGACACAAGCCCAAAAGTATGAAAATGAGATTTTCAAAATAATAATTTTACAAACTTATCAAACCTCTCTGTATTAATATTTCATTGATAAAGCCTCGTAAGACCTCTCTTTTGAATCTATCACTAAACCGAACTGCGTTTAAAAATCGCAAAGTACATGAAAGAAAAACCTACGACTAGCTCCAACTCCAATAGACTCTGGAGTCTCAGGGTGTCTGACAATATTTTAACGTATTTTTCCCTGACCCTTCTACCATTTTTCCCTGATTTAATGTAAGGTTACCCAAACTCAACTTCACAAAAAAAAAACCTAGATTCGTTTAGAAAAATGCTCTTTAACTGCAAAAATATAAACAATAAGAAAACTCACATTAAATTTATGAAGAGAAGTTCTTATATCTGCCAAATAAACTTCTATGTTTCGCGTAAATGGAGTTTTTCGTTCACGCAAAAATATTTTTGACAAATGTGTGGCTATGAAAATAGCCTTTTGTTTTAGAGCGTGCTCGCGCAGCATCGCTGTTTACTTGGCTGCTGCTGGTTTTGGAAGTTTTTCGTTCTTCTTGGGCAGCAAAACAGCTTGAATGTTTGGCAGCACACCACCGCTTGCAATGGTTACGCCCGACAACAGTTTTTTCAGCTCCTCTTCGTTGCGAACAGCGAGCAGTAAGTAACGAGGAACAATTCTGGCTTTCTTGTTGTCTCGGGCAGCGTTACCAGCCAACTCCAAGCGTTCAGCGCATAGGTACTCCAAAACAGCAGCCAAGTAAACTGGAGCGCCTGATCCCATTCGGTTAGCGTAGTGGCTTTAGTGTAAAAAACGATGAACGCGACCAATGGGAAACTGAAGGCCGGCTCTGAAAGATGATGTCTTTGGCTTGGCTTTAGCTTTACCTCCTTTACCACGTCCTGAAATTTTTGATTTCTTGTTGTTTACGCGAAGCAACAGACAAAATTGTGAAACGACTTTTTTTTGAAGTAGCTCGACTGCCTTTGTCAAAATCAACAAAAGTTCGAGTAATAGAAAAATAGCGTTTTCTAAAATAATGGTTTGGCGCGAACCAATCGATTTAGTGCGCTGCATCACAAATGAACTCGATTTAGAGAGCACAACTCTGCAATATATAAGCAAGGCGTTCAACTGCACGCCAATTATTCAATACCAATTTCATTGTAGAAATGTCTGACGCTCCGAAAACAGGAGAAAAGCAGGCTCTCAAGGTAGCCAAAAAGGGTGAAAAACGAGCTGGCAAAAAAAGTGGTAAGATTGCCGGTATAGGAGATAAGAAACGCAAGAAGAGGAGACGCGAGTCCTACGCCATTTACATCTACAAAGTGTTGAAGCAAGTGCATTCCGATGTCGGAGTTTTGTCTAAAGCAATGAGCATCATGAATTCGTTCGTGAACGACATTTTTGAAAAGATCGCGTCTGAAGCTTCGCGACTCGCCCTTCAAAACAAAAAGTCTACAATCTCTTCACGTGAAATTCAAACCGCCGTGCGCCTCTTACTTCCTGGTGAATTGGCAAAACACACAGTGAGCGAAGGCACCAAAGCTGTCACCAAGTACACGAGCAGCAAATAGTTGTGCTACTATGAAAAGGCTATTTTCACAGCCAAAAATCTTTTAAAAACGGCGTTGTGCGCATTTTAACAAGAAAGCCTCTAATATAGTGTGTGGAAACGAACGCGAGATCATTCTGTTAACTAAATAAAATATGTTTCTCACCCTCTCTTTTTTTAAAAAAAAACGACTTAATAAGAAAAACAAACTTCCATACCATCCTAGAGGCGGCACCTCTATACTATTTAATACTTGTTTTTTTTTTTTTTTTCACACTCAATTTCCCTAGACCCTAAATCAATTTACTGTTTACAAAGGCGATGAGCGCGAGAAACTGTGATTTGCAAAATTATATTAACTTAGATTAGAAGTTTTGTTTACGCCAACAAGCTTCTCGTTACGTTGCATTTGATTTTAGTTTTAAATTTAAAACGAGTTTGCTTAACTTAAGTGTTAATGAAATTGATTTTTTCATTTGATCCATAATGTTTTGTTTGTCTGTATACTGTCGAGGTTTCCATTGATAATTTTAGTTCTTCATTAAAAATATATTTCGCAGGAATTAAATATACCTTCGTATATCTAATTCCTTATTACGTATATTACGTACTTAAATATATGTTTGTGTGTGTGTGTATATCACCGATCTTTCATAAGCCATGCAACAAAAAACAACAGTAACGGTTTCGCAAGGCTTAACTAAAAGCAGAGGCGGTTGAGTTTAATCGAAACCGATGCAAAAAGAAAGCATCGTTTTAATTTCACAAACATTCACAACCTCTATAGGTTTTGCCTACATGTATGTCTACATGCCAGATAAAACGTTTTCAACAGATTTGTGGCTCTGAAAATAGCCGTTTTGGTTGCTGGACTGTTTATCCGCTGAATTCGTACAATGTGATTCGCGATGCCGTTACTTACAAGGAGCAAGCCAATAGAAAGATTGTTACCGCCATGGATGTTGTCTACGCGTCCTTGCCTCTTTAAAGCGTAGACAAAATCCATGGCGGTAACAGCCTTTCTCTTGGCTCGCTCCATGTAAGTAACGGCGTCGCGAATCACATTTTCCAAAAAGACTTTCAGTAGTTTTGTAGATAAGCCCTCAGATACGCTTGACACCACCTTGGCGAGCTAGACGATGTATAGCGGGCATTGTGATGCCTTGCATGTTATCACGCAATATCTTGCGATGACGCTAGGCACCACTCTTGTCGAGACATTTTCCTCCTTTACCACGACCTGACATGTTGAATTTTTCAGTTGAATGCTAACTTTTGGCGCAATTTCCATACATTTTATTGCACGTCGAAGTTAACCCGACATAGATGGAGGCAATGCGAACACGTTGACTGCGCAAAAAAAAGTGGCGCATTTTCGATGTTGTGTGTTTTCACACAGATATTTTCTATTTTGAATCAGTTTATTAATTTTATAAAAAAAAACGAAACGTGACGCGAACTAACGAAATAATAAATTGGTCACGTTATCTTTATCAACGCATCGTTTGAAAGTAAAACTAAAAGCTAGAGAATCTGCAAGATCCGAGCCCGCCTCGTTCGTTTTATTTAGCAAAAAAGACGCCATAGCTTTTGCACATTTTTTTGACCCAATCAAAAAGCACTTTCTAAGCGCCAATCAAATTGATGCAGTCTTATAAAGGCGCTAAACTGTAACATGGCAACAAACCAGCGAATTAGTTTGAACTAGTGCTATCTCGAAAGCAGTGCCATTCATCGACTATAGCCCGAACAAAACAAACTGCCAGAAAAATCAACGGTGGTAAAGCACCTCTCAGGGAAATCCGAAGATACCAAAAGTCAACTGAGCTGATCTATATGGCTCTTTCAAAAATTGATTAAACTCAATATGAGTCATTTGTTCAAATTTACCAGTATGTAACAAAAGTAT